GAAGAGGGGCGAGAACCGGCCCCGCGGCGCCCCGGGCAGCGCCCGGCGCCGGGCGGCTCGTGGCTAGAAGTGGAAGGAGCGAAGCGGCCGGAGCCGGGGAGGGAAGGCGCGGCGCTGCCCGCACAGCCGTGCCCCGAGGGCTTGTGCGAGCGGCGTCGCCGTCCAGGGGGCAAGCAAAGCGGGATGGTGCCGCCGCCCCCGCGAGCCGTCCTGGGCTGAGAGCCCGGCGGGCTGCGGGCGTCCCGGGCTCCCTCCTGGGCTGGAAAAGAAAACAGCAGTGATGGTGAGGATGAGAGCAATGACAGTCCTGATCACAGGCCGCACAGCCGTGCCCCGAGGGCTTGTGCGAGCGGCGTCGCCGTCCAGGGGGCAAGCAAAGCGGGATGGTGCCGCCGCCCCCGCGAGCCGTCCTGGGCTGAGAGCCCGGCGGGCTGCGGGCGTCCCGGGCTCCCTCCTGGGCTGGAAAAGAAAACAGCAGTGATGGTGAGGATGAGAGCAATGACAGTCCTGATCACAGGAATAGCAGTAATGATAGCAATAATAGGAACGGGAATCGTCGTGATAACGAGAGCAATAATAATAGTTATAATAAGGATAACAATAATGGGGGTGGTGATAGCAATAATGATAACAACAATAATAGTAATAATAATAATAATGATGATGATGATGATAACGATAGCAAATAATGGTGGCAATAGTCATAATAATAATAATGATGATAACAGCGATGATAATAATAAGAGTAATAATGATGGCAATAGTAATAATAATGATGATGATAACAGCGATGATAATAATAAGAGTAATAATGATGGCAATAATGATGGCAATAGTCGTAATAATGATAACAACAGTAGTTGTAACTGGAATGATGATAGCAATAATGATGATAATAGCAACAGTAACAAAAATTATAGCAATGCTGATGATAGTAATGATAATAATAATGACAGTAATAATAATAGCAATAATAATGATGGTGCTACTAATAGTAATGATAGCGATACTAATTATAGTACTGATAAGGATAGCAATAGTAATGATGGTGATAGTAACAGTAATGATAATCGTAATAGTAATAATAAGGGTAGCAATACTGTTGATGATAGTAATGATAATAACTAATAATAGCGATAGCAGTACTGATGACAATAATAATAATGCTATAATAATAATAATGGTGATCGTAATAAAGTAATATTAAGGGTATTAATACTAATGACGATAACAATGATTATATTAATAATGACAGCAATAATAATGATGGTGATAGTAATAACAGCAATCGTAATAATAAGGATAGCAGTACTAATGATGATGATCGTAATGATATTAATAGTAAAATAAGGATAGCAATAATCATGATGGTGATGGTAATGATAATAGTAAAGTCATAATAAGGATATCAATACTGCTGATGATAATGATGATAGTAATAAGGATAGCAATAATCATGATGGTGATAGTAATAGTAATGGTGATAATAATATCAGTAATACTAATGCCAGCAAATGTTGCTGACGATGCTAATAATGGCACTAGAGTGGTAACAGTGGCAGTGATGTTAGGATAACGGTGGTGCGGAGAAGCACGGGGCAGTCATCATCACAGACATTGCTACTTGCCCGCTCGGTGCCCGTGCTCCGTGTGTGGGTCCTTGTCCCAGCGGCCGCCCGCGGAGCTCGCTCGTGTCTGCCCTGCCGGTGCCCGGTGCCCGCGGAGCTGTTCGGTGAAACCGCTGCTTCTCCGAGAGTTTCTCCTGCGCGTTTCCTTCTTGGACAGGGCCGGTCCGGGCTGCTCGGGCCCTCCCGAGAGCGGCTGGCTTGGCTGCCCGAGCCCGGGACAAACCTGAGGCTTCCTACCAGGCTGCGGAGCAGCGGCCCCGCTCCCCTTGACGGCTCCTTTCCTTGTCCACACAGATCCGTGTCATGGAGCCCAGCCCGTCCCGGAGCGTCCCCGCCCGCGCCGCCGCAGGTAAGACGGCGCCGCTGGGCCCCGCGGGGCTGAGCCCGCGGTTCTCCGACTCGGGGACGAGTCTCGGACACGTGTCGCGCCGGGGTCCTTAGGTGACACACGGGGGAAGCTCTCGGGCCGGAGCGCCGCTAACGCGGGCTAAGTCCCGTCTGCCCGAACTGCCCTGGAGCCGGGGTTCGGGACTCCCCCGCGCCGCGGCCGCTCGCAGGCTGTCGTTCCCGGTCGCACGGGCCAGCCGCGATCCGAGGAGGCTCCCGCGCTGCGTTTGCTCTGCAAGGGGGAGCGAAGCCGCGGGCACTTACCCCGCGCCAGGGGGAGCAGACAGCCGCTCGCTTTGCTGCGCCGGAGCAAAACCAAACTCCATCTCTCTCTTTTTGCGGGATCGGCACGAAGGTGAATTGTTTCCCGGTCCCGGCGCGTTGTTACAGTGGTTTCAGCCTTGTAGGAAATGTCCCGATGGGGGGAAACGTGTCGCCCCCCCCCCCCCCCCGGCCAGCGTCCAGATCCTGCAGCAATGAAGCAAGGGGAGTGGGGAGGGGGGGCACCCAATGGAAACATAATCTCCGATTGCTCTTGTGTTTGCAGAGCCGGAGTCCGTCCCTAGGTGCTGGCGACACCCCGGGTCCCGGCTCCATCCACAGCTGCAGAAATAAGGCGCTGAGAGAGGGGGGGGCTGTTTCTGAATCTAAGACGAGGCCGATCCCCGCGCTGCCCCGAGCCTGGGGGCAGGCCGTGCTCGGGGGATGGTGCCAGACACCGAGGAGAGACTCCTGTTGCGGGCAGGGGCGGGGAGCCCGGGGTTTCCCCAGCTGCCTGGGAGGAGAGCGGCGGTCCCAGCCGAGCCCGGGGGGAATCTCTGCGTCTGTCAGGAAAAATTGAGCCTGCAGCTATTTTATTTTCTCCCGGGTCCGGCGAGCTCTGTCCCCAGGCCCCGCGCCTGCAGCCGCCCTGCCCGCCCCCAGCCCCGGGGAAGCTGGGGCTGTGCCTGCCACTGGAGCCGATCGCTCCGTGCTGGGCCGGGCCGGGAGGAAGCTTAGGAGGGAAGTAGGTGGGTCCAGGCTCATTGAAATGGTCTTGGGAGCTGGGAAGGGCCCGGGGAGGCTGCAGATCCGTGCCCTGGAGCCGGGAAACAAAGCGGAGGGACCCATGGGCCGGGCCGGACTTGGGGCAACAAAGCGGGGCCGGCTGCGGGGGGCTGTCCCGGCCCGGCGGCCGCCGGGCCCATCCCGCCTCCCCCGGCTCCGTACCTGCTCCCGGGCCGAGGATGGGCAGCGCCGCCCTGCCCCGAGTCTGTGCGCACGTGTGTTCGCGCCGCCCGGGCTGGGCTCCGGGATCGGGCTCTGTCTGCGGCCGGCGTGGCGGGCCGGGCCTGGGTGGATCTGGCCAGCCTGGATCTGCTTGTTTCACGTGGCGAAAACCCCACCTAAGCCCGGAGCACGCGGGAATACACCCCGTGCACGCAGGCGCGGGTTGTTGTCCTGCTTCTGCGCCCGGTTGTTTGAGCTCGAGCAAGGGAAGGAGCCAGCGGCAGTGCCCAAAGCCGGAGCATCTCGCAGCGGGGTTGGGGAGCTCCTTTGTAGCAGGGAATTGGAGTTTTCTCCTGCACAGCTGCCCCGGGCCCGGCTGGGGCTGGGAGGGGAGGGGACACATGTGCACACCGCAGGAGCAGCTTGGCGCCCCGCAGCTCTCTCCAGAGCCGGGGGCACCCGCCGAGGTGTGCGGGTGCCTCCCGGGAAAACAGTGACACGGTCCCCGGGGCCCGGCCCGCACCTCTGCTCCGCGATAAGAGATCAAAAGGGCCAGTTGCTCCCAGGGCGCCAACCCCGCACGGAGCTGGGGGCGGCTGGGTCTGAACAAGATGCCCGCGGGCATAGGACGGTCCGTAGCGACTGCGGGGGCCCTGCCGCTGGGGCGGGCATTTGCGGTCTCGCCCTGCGGGGATCCCCCCGGGGCTCCTGTTTCTCTGCGGCGATCCCCAGCGGGCGCTCATAGACAGGGCGGGGGAGCCCATATAGGCCCGGGGCGCCCCGCTTCGGCCCCTCGGGAATGGCTTGTTCCTCCCTTTCCAGGCCTGCAAAGCGCGACCCCCGGGCCTTTCCCCCGAGCGTGGAGGCGGGTTCTGGCCCGCGGGGCCCCGCCGCTCTCCCAGAAGGAGTCGCCCCGGGCAGCAGGGAGGAAATCGCGGGCTTTGAAAATCGCCCTGCGCACATTTTCTGCGCCCCAAGCCCGGGCGGGATAGGGCGGGTCGGGTTTGCAGCACCCCTGCGGGAGCGGGCATTGCTGCTGCTGTCCCAGCCGGGAAAGGGGATGCTGCAAACCCGTCCCAACCGGGAAAGGGGGTTTAGCATCTCCTGCCAGGGCCGGGCTCAGACGGGGGCGCGGCTTGGACCTAGAGGAGTGGGGACGCTGCCTTGCCCCACTCCTTGGCCTCGCCAGGCGGGATACCCCCCCCCCCCCCAGGGGTTGCTGGGGCAGCCCACAGCCCCGGGGTGAGAAGGGCCTGCAGCTCTTCCCGTCGAGCAGCCCCGGCCCCGCTCCTTGGGAAGCGACACGGCCCAGGGCAAAAAGCGACATCAGGGAGCTGAGGTCGATTGTGACATCACAGGCGGCGGCTGTGGCGTCACAATTGGCCCCGGCTCCCCGCGCGTACGTGGGTGCCAGGCAGGCCCTGCGTCCCCATTGCCCCTGGACCCCCGGGGCCGGGGGCTACGAAGCGGCCTCCCTGATTTAGAGGCATCAAGGGGTGTTCCCCGCCGCAGTGCAGTGCACCCCAGGCGGAGGGAGGCAGGCCCGGGCCCCGGGGAGGACTGCAGCGGGAGGCTCCCGTGAGCACGCCCGAGAGCACCGACGCTCCGGATGCCCACGGGCGCTGCGGGCTGACTTGCCCCAGCCTTGACCCGAGCCCGCCGGCCTCCTCCCCTTTAGGCCACAGGTTCACCAGCACGTCTCCTGAGAGCCGGGACCAGGGACGAGGTGCTCCCCGCGGCCCCTCTCTTCCCCCACGCACTGGGCGTTATAGTGGGACTAGCGCCCGCCCCAGCACAAGGGCCAGGCCCAGGGGAGGGGGGACAATGTACTTTACCCCGGCAATGTGGGGGAGGGGAGTTGTTAGAGAACAGGGCGGACACGGGGGGCATGAGACGCGCACAGAAGCCCCACCTCCCTTGTACCCCGCATTAAGCAGCGTGGGAGAAGCAGCGGGCAGTCAAGTCAGCACGTCTGTTCGCCCACCCGCCGGCGCATCGCGGCCTGAAGGAGCCTCCTTTTTCCCCCAAAAAGCTGCAAGCAAAGAAAAGGAGCGGTGCAGGGTGTAGGGCACCCCCTTCCCAGAGGCCAGGATAGCCGGAGCCTGGGTGCAAATCGCTGCTGTCCGCCCCCACTCAGCCCCTGTCACCCCGCGGCCAGGCAAGGCTGCGGGGCCAGCCTCCCTCCGGGAGTCCTCAATCCGATCCGGCCTGGCAAGGGAGAGAGACCCCCAGGCCAAGCACACCCCAGCCAGGGCCGAGCGGGACACACCGGCGGGGCAGAGTGGATGGATGCCCCGCCGGCCTGCCAGGGCGCTCGGCCTACCCCGCTGGGCTCTTTCCCAGCCCTGATGGCGCAGCCACCAGCGCCTCGGGGCCAGTCACCTGCTCCCAGCCCGGCCCCGGCCCAGTGGCAGAGAAGCCCTTTCCCCCGCGGCGTTGCGCCCATCTCCCTGAGCTGCTGGTCCCTAAGGCGCACCGAGGGGCTGAGCTGTAGACCGGGAC